CAGACAAGTTATTTACAGACTCAGAAAGAGTACAGTTGTTTATTGGACTGAACAATGGAAAGAATGGCTCTTGTGATACTGGTGGTGGTGAGGAATTAGCTGCCATGTTGGTTCTAAAACTTTCTTCTGCAATATAGACCTTAATTGCAGTAACTCCATCACACGCTTTTCCTATAGTTCCTTTTAGGCTTTTCCTCATTCCTCAGTTATTTCTGTGTAAATATATATACTGAACAAAATCTCAGAGGGGGAACTGCTGGTGGGTGCCTATATTTATTCTAGATCCAAAATATATTACATAAGGGATTTTTTCATATCTATCTCTACATATGTATTTTCTGAAGGAAGAGAGCAGAGCTGGCAGAACAAACCACAGTCTTTTCCACCATGGCCTGGGGGCAGAAGAAGAGTTTCATACCGACTGGGAAGACACACAGGGCGCTTAGGTGCCAGTAGGCTTAGAAAATCACTGACAGGGTTTTCAGGCCACATTATCAGTTTTGGCTGTAGACAGAATTTAGACATCTGGATTCTATTGAAAGTGTTAAAGTCTTTATTTAAACTTAGTCCCAAGTTCTTCCTGTGAGGCACTCTGAAGCCTCCTGAGTTCCCAGGCATGCACCAAGGACACTGGAAATGGGTGAGCTTTTAGGGACTGACATATTCTAAGGTGAAGCAGAAGTACTCATACTTGGAGTATGGCAAAAGATACTAAATAGTGAGGGAGAGAGAACTGATCCTTGTGTATAAAAATCTCAGGATAAACAAAAAGGCTCACTTTGGTATCATTTGCATACAAATTCTAAATCCTCATCATTTTAATGGAAGTTTGGAATACTCGTGAATTGTTGGCTAAGATACAGACTGGAAAAGTTCCCCCAAAAGTGTTTCATTACTTGTGTGGGTGTGGGGAAAGTGTTACAACTCAACTGTATCTGAGTAGTTATGCTACTTTATCACCTTCTAAGCCAAAGAGCTATTTTTAAATTGAATTAAAAACTGCTACTTCTGCAGTTATCCAGTGGATAGTCTCCAAAACAGGATTTCTGTAGCTATCTTGGGTCAGAAGAACATGATGAATCAGCATGCAAACACCACCAGTTTAAATTCAATTAATTCCCTTTATATGTTCATTCACCCACTAAGATGTGGTTTGAATCTGTCCTTCAAAATTCACTCCCAATTTTCGCTTGCTCTTAAATGCAAAGGAATCTAAATGCAGTATAATTTATTTAATTCAGAGCCAGAAAAGTGGAGCCTTGAGATAAAAAAAAAAAAACAAAACGCGGTAATAAGGAATGCTTAAAGGAGGCTACTATTCACTGAGGCACAATTATCCTGCTAAAGTCTCTGTAACTCCTACCTTTCTCCAGAGCTGCCCCTCATATGATGAACGGTGAGTATAGCAAAATTAATATTGACTGTCTGGGTATCAAGCTGTCTTGCCTGTTTAATCTTTACGAAATTTGAAAGGCGAGAAATGCTCTTGTCTCTCCATCACATCTGTTCTAGTTCCGACAGACCTGCCTGTAAGCAGATAGCCTTCTTCCACAGCGGGGGCTTAAATAGGATAGAGATACTTCAAAAATAACATGCTCATCTCAGGTCACCCTGATAAAGACCTGTGGAGCTTTTCCTGTTGTGAAATAAAAGGAAAGATATGATCTGAAGACAAGTGTAATAGTCCAAACCTTGGTATTGTTACGGACATTATCTCACGATCTCCACAGATTTAGTTCTTTGAAAAGGTCATTTTATTACCCACAGACTAGCTTCTTTCTTGTGGGCCGTGTACAAAGTTAGAGATCCCCATAATAGCATACTAACATCTACTTAGCGGTTGTAACGTTTGTACAACTTAGAGTAGAAGCAACTTCAAAAGTAGGAGTGGCGCTTGATGAGTCTGACCAGGGAAAAAAGACAGGGTTTTTTTCAACAGAATGAAACCAGCCTGTTTTGTAGACTCCATGCTAATCTGCATCTTTCAGAGCTTTCCAACTGATAAATTCAGCTGAAAAACGCATCCACCCCTAAGGGCTGTGCAGCAAAATATCTGTGTGTGCAATAGGCCTGCCAGCTGCTGGCATTTCGGGGCTCTCAGTGGCATGAGCTGAGTAGCACATATTTGCGCAAGGGAAACAAATCAAAAAGCCTCTTCCATTTATTCATTTTATCCTATTTGGAAGGGCCTCCAAGCCTCTTTTTTTACCAGCTATATTTGTCTAATAAAAGATATTACCTCTCCTTACAGGTCTTGCCTAACCGTTTGTAACAAATGGGGGAGGGTTAAAAGTTTAATTCAATAGTAACATTCTTTCAGCTATTTACCTTCAACTGATTATCATATCTGCTTCAGGAAGAACCTAGAGGTTTAACAATGAAAATTTTAAAATATCCAACTTCTTTGCTGTCTCTGCACTGCCTGTGCCATCCTCATCTTTCCCTTCAGGAGAGACTTGACTGGATCACAACAAAAGCTTCCTAAACTGTCCTAAAGAGCCAGGTGGCAGTGCACTTCAGAATTATTCTTCAAAAATGCTCCTTTTTGCCCTATCTTAACCCTTCTCCCTAAGCAAATGTCTCCTGTGTGACCGCAGGACATTTAATTGTGCTTCAAAGTTTAAGTGTACCTAAACGGCACGGAGGATAGCGGCCAAGTTGAAGGACGGTGAGTTCATTCACTCCTTCCCTGCTTCTGGATTTCTTGGTTCATCTTAGGTTTGTATTCTTTGCACTGAGACATTAAGGGCTGTATCGGCAGAGATCTTCTCCTCCTAGATAATATAAAACATGCAAGTGTTGCCATCAAACCAATGGTCCTTGTGAGAATGGTCTGACCCTCTAATGCACTACATACATTGTTATTTGCAAGCTCCTGTACCGCATACAATACTTTATCTGGAGGTACTCATTTTTCCAGAGATAAATCTCTCACTGATCATTCAAGGCTTTCCTAACTGCACAAGTGTAAGAACAACTGGCGGTAAGACAGCACCATTAAAATCAATGCTACGCTGGCAACATTTCATCATTCGCATTTAATTTTCACCATTTCTCCCTGGTTTGAATGTTTTGTACATATTCACTATTCAAAGATTGGTTAACATCCCAAGCTAATCTTTAGCCTGACTGAGCAGTGTTAAAACAATATAAGATTATTTCTTTTTAAATAGGATTACAAATCATGGAGATTTTTTATTCTTTATTTTCAAATGGTAGAGACATTTTGCTAATGAATTGCTGGTTTCTCTCCTTCTATTTATGATAATCACCTATCTTCACTATATAATGGGATTGGGTGACAGAGGTTAAAGCATTGTGATTCACATAATTTTGATTTCAAGTAGGGAGCAGACAACACTATAATGAATTACGAAGAGATCACGTTCAATAAACATCCAGTGATAGAAGTAGAAATGCAAAAACAAGGAGAATCATTCTGGTTTAAACCAGCACTTGTAAATGAAAATCAGTCATTCCTAATAGGTTATTTTCTGTTCTAAATACATAGTAATATCTCTTGTTGGTATTTTGGGGGGAGAAGGGAGTGGAGGGAGAATGGGAAGACAGCAAGAGATGCAATCATCACTGTGACCAGTTCAGTCAAAAGCCCCTGTTCAGTATACAGCAGTGACCTTAAATTTTAAGCTAAAAAGTGAAAAAGAGTAAAACTCAATTACTCAGTGCTATAGTGTGAATCAGTCACACATCCTTACTTCGGTAAGAAAGCTTAATTATGTTAACCTGCCATCAAAAGGTTATTAGAAGTGGAGGTGGAGAGCTCAGAGATGGACATCAAG